AGGTATGTGATATATCTCGATAAAAAAAAAAAAAAAAACATATATGCAACGAGCGGATAAAAAAAAAATGTGTGGAAGTTATTTGAAACATGGGGGGGGGGGAAAAGAAGAAAAAGAAATTCTAACGTGATTCTCAAACGATAAATTTTCTCCCATTAAATTTACATATAATCTCGATCACATTGTTTAAGTCTATCGATTCTCTATTTTCCATGCTATTTTTCCGGAATTTAAAACATCGACATTCTAATCGTGTTAGTAGATATTGTAAGAACGTGATTTACGATTAAAAGGAAGGAGAATGTGTATAACGTTGTATATGTATATATATATATATATACGGTGTTTCAAAAGAGATTTTATTTTAATTTTAAATATATTATGTTTCTAGAATATTAATAATAAAAAATAATCATTTAATAATTGCTATAGAAACGTATTGTTTTTGGAATTATTAAATGAAATATTATATTATTAAACAAAAATAATGCAATATATTGCGCGCATCTTTGCAATTTCTTTGAATAGTTTTCATAAATATTTTTTATACTAAAAGTGTGAATAGATTTTAATGAAACTTATATTAAATTAAAGTACACTCTTTTATTTACGCATAGAATACTTTGTCGAGTTATAAATTTAGCATGTAAAGTTCAGAAAATGTAAGAAAATGCAATGCTGTAAATTGTGCATCTTTGTAATTTTTTTGAACAGTTTTGGTAAATATTTTTTATACTAAAAGTGAATAGATTTTAATGAAACTTATATTAAATTAAAGTACACTCTTTTATTTACGCGTAGAATACAATATCGAATTATAAATTTAGCATGTAAAGTTCAGAAAATGTCAGAGAATGCAATGCTGTAAATTGTGCATCTTTGCAATTTTTTTGAACAGTTTTAGTAAATATTTTTATATGGTATTCTACACGTAGACAAAAGAGTGTACTTTAATTTAATATAAAAATCATTAAAATCTATACACTTTTAGTATAAAAAATATTCACCAAAACTTTTCAAAGAAATTGCAATGATGCACAATTTAAAGCATTGGATTCTCCCGTCATTTTCTGAACTTTACATGCTAAATTTATAACTCGATATGGTATTCTACGCGTAAACAAAAGAGTGTACTTTCATTTTATATAAGTTTTATTAAAATCTATTCAATTTTAATATAAACAATATTTACAGAAACTTTTGCAAAGAAAATTGCAAAGATGCACAATTTACAGCATTGCAATCTTTGATATTTCTTTGAAAAGTTTCTATAAATACATATATATATATATAAAGCATGATAAAGTCAAGCGAAAAAGTTGCACACAATTGTTACAAAATATATATATATCAATACCTACACACATATATTAATAAAAATACTTCCATATATTCCTACAGATACATACATACATACATACATACATATATCTAGATGCACGTGTTTTGTCTCAGAATCAGTGAGATGGCAAAGTTCGAAGGTTGAAAAGTCGCGGAACGGAGGCGACACGCGTGCTTGCACACGCGTTCTTACACACGCGGTACTTACACACGCGGTACTTACACACGCGGTCCTTCGTCCACCATCGCGTGCGGGTATTTATACGGCCACGGAAATCGGGGCCGTGGGAAACAACCATACCACGACACTCTCTGACATAACAGAGACCGTATTCTCTCGGCACGAGCGGTGCAACAGTGAGAAAGAAAGAGTGAGAGAGAGAGAGCGAGAGAGAGAGAGAGAGAGAGAGAGAGAGATAGAAAGAGAGATTTTACGACGCGACACGTGCTTCTTTTTATTCTCTCTTTCATTCGATTGGCGAAAGTAAAACGATTCGATCATTTCCTCTTTCATTTTCTCTCTCACTCTCTCTTATACACACACACACACATACGTATTCATTCTCTCTCTTTCACTCTTTCTTTCTCTTTCACTCTCACATATACACTCATTCTCTCTCTTTCACTCTTCCTTTCTCTCTCACTCTCACATATACACTAATTTTCTCTCTCTCTCTCTCTCTCTCTCTCTCTCTTTCTCTCTCTCACACATACTCTCTTTTTCAAGCACACATATATATTTATATATCCACTCACTCTTTCTTTCTCACACTCTCTAATTGTTATTTTCTTTTTCACTGTCTCTCTCTCTTTTCTCTCTTTTTTTTTATTTTTTTTTATTTTCTCTTTTTGTTTATCGTTTGTGGTACGTACGTATTTGGCGAAACAGTAAAACGTATTTAACAATAAATACGATCGTTTAAATTATTATGCACCGAACACTTCTCCGTGTATCTTATTTTTAACTATAGGTATACGTATGTGCTTGCATGTGTATGTATGTAATATTCTTTCTCTCTTTCTCTTAGTTTATTTCATTATTTATTTCTTTTTTATTTTTCCCATTTTATTTCGTGCGTGAAAATTGATTGAATAATTTAACACGTACGTAAACGAAATCGAATGTGATTATTGCCTTGGTTATAATAAGATCGTTAACTCTCTCGAATGATTCTTTTTAACGATTATCCCCCCCTCTCCCTCCCTCCCTTCCTTCCTCCCTCTTCCTCCTTCTCTCGTTTCGATAAATTTTTACGAAAGATAATGTCAAGGAATTACGAATCTTTTTCAATTCTTTTTTTTCTGAAATTGTTCAGAAGTTTTTCTTTTTCTTTTTTTTTTTTTTTTCTCTTTTAGATAATCATTTAAAATATCTGGATTATAATTTCAATATTAAAAATATTTTATTTTTTAAGGACGATACAGCTGACCAGATTATTTTTTAATAATCGATATATTGGATCGAGTTATAAGTAACATTCGTTTTTTTTTTTTTTGAATAAAACATTTATTTTGTTTTCACTTATATACTCTTATAACAATATAATATTAATTTATTATATCTATTAGGTGGTATTTTTATTTTAAGATGCAAAGTTATTTATGATTCGATTTAATAATTAAAAGATATATAATACAAAATGCGACACGAAAAAGAATAGGGATAACTAATAATCAATATTCTTGTCCCAACAGTATATTAATATATATGAGTTTCAAAGGGAAAATTGAAGACAGTTAATAAATTTTGATGAACAAATTTATTTGATCTTGTTGAACGTTTCGTCCCTTACTGGGGACTAAACGAATCGTTTATTCTCTTTTTAAAAAGTATCAAATAAATATATTTGATTTTTTCTTTTCTCTCTTTCACGACTGTTGGATGCTTTTAATACAGGGTTGTACGAAGTATTGCCTACCCTACAGGCTCAAAATGCAACCCTTGTTATCGTATATTGATTTATTTGTTTATATTATTCTTACAAATTTTATTTACATGTTTTTCCTATTCCCCCATTCCCTCAAATTCTTTATTTTTCTTCTTCTTTTGTTTTTAAAAATATATTAATAATTAATATATTATTATACAATTATTTGTATGTATCGGTGCGTATTGATTTGTTGTTTCCTTTTTTTGGTAGACAATTTTATTCTTGCTATTGTATATTACTTTTTGATTTGCAAAAATTCTTAATCGTTTGATTGAGCCATAAGGTTTAAGTATAAGTACCCCTTAAGAATATTTCCTGCTATACTAACCGTTAAATAAATACAATATATTGAATTAACCCTATCAAGAGAGATGATATCTACCCTCCCTTACTTGAAAAATATTCACCCTTACTTTTATATTCTATTATCATTGGTAGTACGTATGACCATCGGACACCTTTTGCCATCTTTTGTTGTTTCATTTTTTCGTCACGGGGAGGGTAGCTCAACCCTCTAACTTATGGCATGGAAAATCATGTGAATTCACGCACTCGTAAGTTTGTTCTTTACTACCCTTGGACATGTGTGCTATCCATATGTGACATACACGTGTCCACAATTTTTGACTATTATTTAATCAGCGAATTTACGTTCACGAGAATTGCAATATTTTTTTATTTTTTATTTTTTTTTTTTTTTTTATAATGATACTTATACAAATACAAATTTTTAATTAAAATATATATGCATTTTTGTCATAATCATTCACAGAAGAGTCTTAGTAACTTTTTATCTCTTCTTTGAATATGTTGTTTTTTTTTTTTATTTAATTTATATTAGCATTGTTTATTAATAAATACGTATATTATATTAAAAATTCATTGTAAATATTATATTATATATATTAAGGTAATAAGGTACACAGGAAGGGAATGGATTTTCAAACGATAGATTAAAACCACATATTGTTTTATATTTTTGTTTTTTTTTTTTTTATTAAAAATACTTGGAAGACATATAGGAAATTTCCGTCGATCATTAACGGAATACGTTATTTAAAGTCAATATCACAATATAGATATATGCTAGATTATAAATATACATCTAATATATTCTGAGATAGGTACATACATTATCACAAATGCGATCGATATTATCGCGACATAAAGAAAAAAATAAAATAAAATAAAATAAAATAATAAAAATTACAATACGTAGTGTAGGTATGTAGAACCTTAAAAAAATCTCTTCTCTCTCTCTCTCTCTCTCTTTTTATCTTCATCGTCCAACCCTTTATATCTCGAGTCAGATTTATCGTATTAACTTATATCTAGGAATACACAAATGTAAAAAGTCTTGGTTGGTCTCGATATAAATTAATAATTATTAATCTAACTATATTATTTTTAAACTATTGATCACAGTTTCGATGTATATCTTATCTTATAAAGTCTATTCTTTTTCCTTTTGTTTTTGTTTTAATTTATCGAGCCGAAGCACGATTAATCTCCTTACGTGTTCTTTTAATTCCGAATAATAATAATAATTATAATTTCGGTATGGTTGACGTGTTATTACTATGATATAAATAATCAAAGTACCACCCCCCCATAATAGTAATGAGAGATCTCTCTCTCTCTCTCTCTCTCTCTCTCTCTCTCTCTCTCTCTCTTTTTCTCATCGTTTAAATAAATGAATTAAAAAATAAAAATCGTGGTCGAAGGTTGTCAAATTAGAATTTCACGCAACTTGCATTTCTGGCGTTTGATGTTGAGAGAATGCTCGTTCCTTGTAGCAAAGATCACTGTCAGCAAGGGTTAGGGTCGTCCAGTAAAAATCACCTGCGTGGGTGTGTGCAAAGTGTACAGGTACGTAACACTGGCCAGGAACAACCGGTACAACTGTCATTTGACCGTCGAGACAAACGGTAATGGCTGCACCCTCTTCAGCATCTTGGAGTTCAGCCAATAGTCTTCTTTCCAAGGCCTCGTTAGCGTTGTTTTGATTGTCAACCTCCTCGGTGAAGACATCTGATTGGGGCATAGCTTTTTGACCCTTATTATATTTTCCCTTGCTTGTTTTCTTCTTTAACAAACGTAACAATGGTTTTAACATTCTTCTCATAGTTTTACTATTGTTACTTGTCTTGTTGTTGTTGTTGTTGTTGTTGTTGTTGTTGTTGTTGTTGTTGTTGATACTGCCAGACATTTTTAAGTTATACAAATTATCATTTAACTCGTTCTCGTATTCGAACACGTGGCTCATTGTGGTGGCGGCCATATTTTGTCAATTTATCTTCTTATTTTTTTTGTATCTCTCTTCACTCTTCTTCTTCTTCTTCTTCTTATTATTTTTCTTCCACAACGGAACAACCGCGCACTGAACCGGTTTTCCGTTCAAAACTCTTGTCGATACGCGAAGAATAATATTACTAACGAGATTATATATATATACGATCAAAAATTTGATACATATATATATAAAATTATGAATATGTGTTTTCGAAAACGTGGAAAACGTATCTCGATACGATATTCAATAATAATGTTATCGTATTATTATTTTTGTTGTTATTATTGATTATTGTTGTTTGTTATGTTTTACTCTAACTTTGAAATGCGTTAAAGATATTATTCAGATTGTGTATTGAACGAAGCAAGCGCTAGTGAGCGAATGATGGTTAAGACGAGCAACCCTGGCCCCTATATAAGCGGTGCAAGCAGGACGGGTTGTTAGAGTGGGGGTAGGGCAGGTGCATTCTGGCTGTGGGAACTCGGAGAATTCGGAGCTTCCCACGTCGGGGTCCACGCCGACCATCTGCCGGTCTTCTCTTCTCTTCTCTTCTTTTCTCTTCTCTTCTCTTTTCAACTAACTACTCTCTCCCTTCCTCCCTTTTTCTTTCTCTTTCTCTACCCCCTACCTCCTCCCACCCTCTTTTTTTTTTCCCTTTACTTCGATCAAGGAGTTGGTGAACTACACGTTACTACTACTATTACTACTATTACTACTACTATTACTCTCTTCTCTAGTTTGGTTTCTAGTGCTCTTCTTCTTTTCACCACCACCACCTTCTTTTCCCGCCCCCCTCCTCACCCCGACCACCCTCGCCCTTCTTTTTCCCGAATCTTACATTAGTCACCCTCTTCTTCGATCTTTCCTTTTTCATGTTGGAAAAGACTCGTCTCGGATTTCAACCTTAGACCTATACCAGCTTTATATTTTCTAAGCTTTCGTATTCAAGGTGCAAGGGTGCTAAGGGTAAGTAAAAGGGGGTGGATATTGACGGCTGTTCTGTCTCTCTCTCTCTTTCTTTCTTTCTTTCTTATTATTGTTATTATACTTTAGGGTAAGAAATCGAACAGGATCGTACCTGTTACGACAAGTTCGTGCCTGTCGTGATGTAAGCATTCGAGCTTTAACTCTAATATTCGTAATCTTATTGATATTATATGTTTGTTTGTTTTTTTTTTCAGTAATTAAAAATATAATATACGAATTTTTTGTTATTAATTTTTGTATTTTGTAATTATGTATTATAATTATTATAATATGTCGTCTGAGAAAAGAAAAAAAAAGGAGAAGTAACACAGTGGACAAATTTGGGATTACGATTTTTTGTTGGTTGATGGTGGACGTGTTTAAAGGTCTTATGAAAAATGGTGGATGACTCACGTCAATTATGGCATATTTCGTTTACTTCGATCTCGGTGATTCGTACCTTTAATTTCTTCTCCTTATTGGTTTGTTTTGTATTTTTTTTTTTTTTTCTTTTTTCTTCCCCTCTTTTTACTTTCTTGTTCTCACACGCAGCAGCAGCAGCAGCAGCAGTAAATTCCATGCAAATCTGCTTACGAGTCGAAGTTTCACGATTTAACTGGGTCACACAACCGTTTCGCTTCGTTTATCCGATTACACGCTATGCAACAACGCTCGATTATCATATGAAATTTGACAAGTGGTATATATATAAGCTTATTTTTTTGTTCTTTCTTTTCTTTATTGCAATTTCACTTTGAAAAGATATTTATTACGTGTTATGTGTACTTTAATCTTCACATTTTGCGTGAGTCCACTTTTAATTCAGCCAATTTATCTTGATTAATTTCATTTACAACTTCGCTGGAAAGTATAATTGCAATCACGGTTCTTATTAAAATCAATTAATGTAACAGGAAAAAAAAAAAAAAAGAAGAAGAAAAATGGGAGTGGGATAAACTCGTACGGATTATTGTTTTATTATTATTATTATTACATGTTACTTACGATTAGTAACGTGGTAAGAAATGTTGTCGCACCTGTTGAAAAATATCCTTTATATCGATCGTCCAATAGAAATGCAATTAATTTCACACGATCGTACATATATTATTACAATTAATTATTAATAACATGGTATATAATAATTTGTCGTTAATAATAATTCTATAGGAAGAGAAAAAATTGTTTTATTGCATTGATATATTTCTTCTTCTTTATTTTCTTATTATTATTATTATTATTATATTTAATTTACAATTTATTATAGTAAATTGATAAAAGATAATTATATCGTGACAACTGTTGAGATTTTGCAAATTTATTTGATAAACAAAAAATAAAATGAAAAATGTATGTACATTTCACGATTAACCCAATACAAGATGCAATTAATTTTTCGCGAACACATTATACGGGTAATTAATGGGGAAAAGGGGTGTAATAATTTGTCATATTAATATATTGATTAAGAAACAAATTCTTGTATTATTGTATTTCTTGTTTTTACTTCTACTCATTTTTATCATTATTATAATACATTTATATTTACAATTAATATATAATAAAAGATAGAAGATAATTGTATTATAGACAACTGTTGAAATTTTGTAAATTTATTTGAAAGCAAAAAAAAAAAAACAAAAGGAAAAAAAAGAAAAAAACAATTTGTGTTTTCTTCGATCACAACCAATACAAGATGCAATTAACTTTCCTTACGAATACATCCTACGTTTGATTAACTGTGGTAAGAAGAGTGGGGAGGGGGTAATAATGTGCGCATGCACACGCTTCTTTCCACCATTACCCCCATAGTGCTGCTAGTGAGTACTTGAAAAATAAGAGTCGAGGGGGAGAATTCGACGAGGTTTAGATTTATCGAGATAAATATAAGACGACCCTTACGATCGTTAAATATACCTCCTGCTCGTGTGTATGTGTTTCTTTTTTTTTTTCTTTTTTTTTTTTCGAAGGAATAAAAGAAAGAAAGAAAGAGGGATATAATCTCAAATACGTAACTCATGGTGGTTATATCAGACTCACCCTATATACTTTCGTGACTAGCATCTATTAGCTGCAAAATGAAGGCAACCAGAAAAAAAAAAAAGAAAAACCCAAAAAAATTTACCTTCCCCTTGTATTGCTTTTTTTTTCTCTTTTCTTTTTTTTTTGCCTACCATCATCGAATCATCAAATTTTTTCATCAACTCATCGTGTCAGATTTATTTTGAATCAGTAAGTACAATGAGAAAAATCGTTATGTTGGATCTTTCATCTTTTTTTTTTGTTTTCTTTTTTTTGTTCCATGACCTATCCTATTTCTACTTTTTTTTTCAGTTTCTTTTTTTGTACTCTCTCTCTCTCTCTCTTCTGTTTTTTGTTGCCTTTAATAACCTGTTCTAGACGTATCAGGTGTTTTAATAATCTTTTGTATTACTGACACTATCATGACTAGTTAAAAAAACATTGAATAGTTTCTTTTTATTTTGAATAAAAATTATTCGTTATATAGATGTTATATTACGTTTTTATTTATTTATTTACCTATTACGATAAAATATATATCGTATTATTATTATTATTATCGTGTTATCATTTAAAAAAGAATTCTCTTTTATTTATTATTAATTATACATATTTAATTTGTTTTATTATATATATATAAAAAAAGAGTATATTTTTTTTTGTTTGAAGCTAGATCAAATTGTTATTTTTATTATATATAAAAAATTTGTCAAATGAAAAAACTCGTACGGATACTAAAAGATAGAAAGAAATAAAGAAAAAAGGTGGTAAGAGGGGGGAAAAAAGAGAGGGGAACAAAAATAAGGGATGTAAACTTGATATAAAACGGTGTCTGTCCTATTTGAAATACTTTCCTGCATTCAGTTATCCAGTTCAGGTAGTATTTGTTTTTTCACTTGCTGCACCTACTCCAAATTACGGTACAAGTATCAGGTGAAACACGGTGACCTTACAATCTCTGCAGGTGATTTTACCTGCTATTTTTTTTTAATAGACAAATGAAAATACAGTTCACGAGAGTTTAATTCGAAATTATTCTTACAGATTTTTTCTTACCAATTGTTTTACAATCTTTTTTTTTTACAATCTTTTTTCTCAGATTCTAAGAAATAAAAGTCGCATTATTACATTGGTTCATGTAATATTTTGTTTATTCGATTAAAAAATTGTCTATATTACGAAAACAATCAAATTATCATTTGAATTTAAATAAATATTCATTATTGTTAGATCTTTTATATCGATATATATACGAAGATCATTTAAAATAAAATATTACTTTACAAAATATATATAAAAAAATAACTATTTTTTCCTTTTTTATTTTTGCAATTTATACAACAATAACAAAAATCAGTCAACATCGAAAATAAATATATTAATTTTGAGTTAGATAATTTAATATATATTAACATAATATATGTTAGATATAATTTAAATCTTCTCTAATAATAATAATAATAATAATAATAAAAGAAGAAGAAAATAATTATTATCCACAAAAAAAAATTCATACAAAGTTTCGCATATACGTTAACCGTTATATTATTAATCCTTAATTTTTATTACTTTAGCATCACCGGTTCCCCCATATGATCATGGAGAGTGAGAAGGGTGGGGTTACTACAGGAATAGGAAAAAGTTAGTCGTAGGTAATGTTGGGTGGTTTAAAAGACTAGCAAAAAGGAATCGATTTGATCGTTTTGAACAGGTTTTTCGCCTACGTTAAAATATTTCTTGATTTAAAAGCAAAAATATATATAGGTTGTAATGAACGTAACCCGCTTGTTAATAAGCAAGCTCGTACGTAATCTAAACGTTTTCCCCCATCATAAAATCTTCGTTGGGATAAGAGTGTAAAAGTGTGAGAAAGAAAGAGAGAGAGAGAGATGAAAGTAAATGAAAATCTCAAGAAACCAGTCCCTTCAACTCAGATCATCAGATCAGATCAGATGAGTTCTTCCCATCTCTTTCTCTCTTTCATTTTTCTATCTTGTCTCTTTCTATCTGGTTTCCTGATCTTTTCGAATAAACCGGCTGGAATCAACGAGGACGAAACGAGGCACGAGGTGTAACGACCTGTTACATGACGATACCTTTTTTTTCATTTTATCAATTTGTTGATTAGCAAA